CAGTACGTGCAGTTTTCTCACTGCAGTGAATTTTTAAGTGTCACCAAGTCATTAGAAAAATGGAACTCAACAACACACAACAACAAGAATGCCTTGCTGAGTTACTTTCTGTTTTCGGCAACGAAGCGCCACATCAGTCGACAATTTCCCGTTGGTATGGAGAATTCAAGCGTGGACGGGTGAGTCTTAGCGACGATCCCAGGGTGGGTGCAAAAAAAAACGGCAGTCACCCAGGAAAACGTCGTTGCTGTGTACAAACCCATCATTGAAGATAGACATGTGACATATCGAGAGATTGAGGCGTCCTTGAAGATGAATGGGCGCTTGGGGCCTAATATCCCAGAGTCCGGAAAACGACGGAACGACCCCTGCACCACGACCTCAACGGAAACAGAAAAGCGAATCACGCAGAATACGTAACGTTCTAGAAGAAGGAATCTTGAGTGGCCTTGAAGAAGATATGTTTTACAGGAAGCCAACCAACGGGGAAAAACTGCAGAGTTTTTTTTGCTGATCGTCAACACCATACTGAATCGCTGAGAGTGAAATTGTACTATCAATAAACTATTAAATTTGCCAGAAAAGAAACATTGAAAAGGGTTTGGCCTAGGAATGGGCACTATATTATCAATGGAGAGAGATTCAAATTACGGATAAGTGATAAATAGTAAAAAAAAAGGTAAGGTGATTTTGGCACGTGACAAATTGTAAAACTAGTGTGAGATAATTACTTGCAGGCAGTGAGGAGCTTTCGATATGCTCCCAAAATGTGCAAACCCAATCTACTCTCAAGTAATTTTTTTGTTTTGTTCTTGACTCCGGCAGACCTGAAATAGCGACAATAGTGCTATGTAATTCAACTAGACTATATCTTGTTGCGGATTTCAGTTCATGTTACATCAGATGACACCTAGTCTTCTACGGCGAGCTGGAATGTTTAATTGCAAGTTTTCGTGGACAGAAACCTGGTGCAAAATTTATAGCGCAATGCCACCGTGGTGCGGGAATTAAGGGTGTGTTCAGAAATTTCTGGAATTTTTCCGGGTCATGCATGATTATAATAATATATTGCTGCAATAAACATTAAGAACCACGATTCACACAACTTTGCAGAGTTGGTTGTATTTCGAAGTTTCTTCTGAGTTTCTTCATGCTAAAGATGCCTCACCGCGTCACTTCGATGCCCTGCACCATCGTGGCAGATTAACGTAAAACAAATACGAGATTACATGTGAATGAAGTGTGAATAGATGATTTTTTGTCTTGCTGTCGTTCTGCTGCCTCCGCGTGCTAGATAATCTGCCTTGTTCATCCTGCGTTTGTAAAAGAATGATTCTTGATTTTTTTCTTGCTGCCTTCGATGTCTGTATTACTTTTAGCACTCCACATCGATATTATTGTCATTCCCTTTATCGTGTTTTGTTCTCCTTGTTCTACCTATCCTCCTGCATCTGTTGTGCCTACCCCTGTGTACTTATCTCAACGGTAGGTTGCCTCCCATTTTCGCCTCCAGCTTCTGGAGATTCTTGATAAGTTGGTAATTCTGCTTAGCCGTGCTAAGCTTGTATTCACCAACGGACTTTGCTCCTCAGAGCTCTCCTCCATGACGGACATGCCAGACAGACCCGCCTGACTTTGACCTCCCATCGTAACCGTGTCGAACTTCGTACATCCAGAACTGGCCGATACGACCGCTCCTCTGTCTCGAGGGTGTCGAGATTGTGGAACAATCTACAAGGGGAAGCTTTTCGGAGTTCTACTAACTTTAAGTTGTTCAAAAATCGGATTAACAAATTTTCTTTCGGAAGCTCATAGCAGCCGCCGTGCCATGGCATTGCGCGGCTGACCCGGTATCAGGAAGGATCTTACACCTGACATCAAAATTTGGCAATAAAAATCCGTTTGTCTTGTGGTGCTGTCAAGTGCAACAGTAACGCACCCAAACCATAAGCCTTAAGATTTTTCTGATATCGATTATTACTGAAACTATGTTGAAAATGCACTCAAAACAATCCAATGACATTAAACAAAGCTACAAACGTGCAAAATGACTGACTTTTTTTTAAATATTAGTATCACAATTTAAAATGGTGGTGAATGCAGTTTACTGCCTTTTACCCAAGTACGGCAGTGTATCTAGGATAGCTCATTCCTGGAACACTGCGATCCCCATAGTTCTATTTTTCAATGAGCTCTAAAAATTTTAAAATAAAAAGCTAACATTTTTGGTTTACTGTTCATTGTTACAATTCAGTATTCAGTGCTTCCAATAAGCCATATATCAGATAAAAAATTGTTGAAGATAAATGTACTTACAGAGGTAAAGACTAAGACCTCAAGTGAAAAGTTCTGGATTGCTTGCAAAGCACACGTCATAAAGTCGTGACATCACAAATTTAAATACGTGATTGACCAAAGCACCTGAGGGTGTTACTTCAAGGTTAAATACATTCTGCTTTGGTTTAACATGATGTATTTTGACAAAGGCGTGCTAAGCTATTTTTACGTGACCCAAAAAATCCATATTACTGGGACTATTGTCGTTTGCTGACTAGTGTTACTGCGTCGATCCACTTGGAAGCATTTAGTTCACAAATCAGAACGGAAAAGGTACTTGAGGAGGCGACAATATGAAAACCACATTTTGTTAACCAACAGGGAAACGCCACGAAACGTTCTCAGGAAATTTGCGGTTTTGCTAAACACCGACTTCTAACCGCTCCTAGCAGATCGCAATGCCGGCGAATTGGTTCTGTAATCTCCGAATATTACGAGATTCATGGAATGAACATACCACAGACCTGCGTCCCAAGCACAATAATCGCACATAGAACACCAATGTACCTACCCGTTATTTGTCAACTGATTACATATTTTCATTAGTACTTTACATTTTCCATGTACTGTCTCTTATACCTTTGATTTGAAGGATGTGTACAGATAATAGACACTGCTGATATGAAGCAGAATGGGAAGTCAGTATATTTTTATCACTAGGTTACTGTGATGTGGAAAATATAGCTGCTGCTGAGTGTCGACAATGTTCTCGTCGAAAACAAAGTGGTGTCAAGTAGGTTGACTCTGCACTTCCCACGCAACGGCGTTTTCAGTTCACAAAGGATTAAGTTCGGAGCAATTTAAACCCTCTGAGAAAAAAGTCATTTTCGAATATGTACAATAGAGGCATTAAATGAGTTAAGTCAGTCAGACACACCCATACAATTAGTTGATAGACATTCTTTCTCTGCCTACTGGTAGTTGCTCCCTGTTCAGTTCGCCGCTTAAGCAGAAGTACGTGGATCGAAAAAATTTCTGTATAATTATAAGCCTTAAATACAAATCTATGATGTGTGAAATATGGCTAATAAGTACATAGAATTACCGAGGTTGGGAGCGGATAGATATACTAACACCAAATTATTCATATATACCCCCCACACATCCCACAATTGCCAACCTTCGAATTTCCACTCCTACAATATTTTTTCCGAAACGTCAAAAAACGGAGTTTCAGCGAATTTTTCCGTTTTTCGCTCCTCACTCCACCGCTACTGAAAAGATTTTCAGAAACTTAAAATCGCTTTCATCTGTGTGAAAGTTTCGTTAAAATCCGAGCGGTACTTTTCAAGTTATAGATTGATCAAGAATTAGTAGCAGATGGAGCAGACTTGGTTTTGGATGGATGTACATATCGTATAATATCCAAAAAAGCATAATATATCAAATTTAATTTTCGCGATTACCCAATGGCGCAGGAAGTAAAAAGAACGAGACATTCTAACGTAGTGCTGGTCAAAGAAGGTTTGAGAAATCAGAAACACAGACTATATCTATTTACAACGGTTGGGGAACAACATCTGCGTAAGGCAGTAATGGTATTTGCTTCAGTGTTTTAATATTCTGTTCTTTGCACCCAGAAGCATACTTGGAATAATTCAAAGCACCTATCTTCACTTCTTATCTCTAGAATACGTGACTTGTATCACCATGTACTTAAGAAGAACTCTATACATTACTGCTACAACAAGCGTGAATGCGTGGTAGCATTATTTAATTATACAAACATAAATTAGTCGAACTACTTCTACCTTAGGGATGAAAAAATATTCAATAATGACCTATAAGCTCACGTGTACTTCTGGGAAATATAATCATCAGGATACCGAACATACCACGATAATACTCAATGCATTTAGTCATGCTGCTTCGAGTCTGTAAACAACTTTTGATATCAGTATTTCGTAGAAAAATTGATATAGCGTAACAAGTCTACCACAAACACAAAGACTAGATCGTCCAAAAATTGCACGAGGTACAATATTAATATCTCCTGTAATGGGATATGATTTTGTTATATATATATATATTATATAGACACAATCATGAAGCCGATGCAGAGTTTGATAACGGATATTTTGACTGGTTATGGTACGTTTAGAGTCACATTTGTTGAAAAAAATGGTCTAAATAATTTTTTGTCGCAATTTTGGGAGTTGGCAACCGGCAGATTCAATAAAAAAGGTCGCTCTTGGAAAATATTATGGGAAAAAGCTTGGTCAGAATATTTTTCCAAACAGGTGCAACACTTCCTGGACTAGTTTAAAATTCAATTTTTGTTTGATAGTAAATCCATAACTCTGGCTATTCGACACTCAAAGAACTTATCAGACGACGGGTCCTCGACCCACCCAATGACCTTCGTATGCTTGAGTGAAGAAATCAGGAGCAAACATACTCAAGCTGAACCTAATAATGAATAGGTCTTGTGTATTTGAAAGACTTATGACGAGAATAGTATAGGTCTGTATAATAGCAAGCTAAAGCATGTTATTTTGCGAAAATCTTTTAGCTCTCTAAATATTTACACTTCCAACAAACAGTTCCTCTTCGTAATGGTAGATTCAGGTAATAGATGATACTCTACTGTCGCATTTTATACGTAATGAGGGTTTCTTCTTGTCTGCAAACAACAAGCGTAAAACAATCTAAGGAACTACCTATCAGATTATGGGATCTAATTTTTTTTTCTATTCCAGAATGGCTACACAACTGACACTACCTCACCACTGGGCTGGCCACTCTGTCTCGGCAGAGCCGGTGTAGTGGTCCATCTGTGTCCTCTGGACCAGGCACTGATCAGAAACAGGGACTGCTACTTGTGCCTTCAGCCCTCAGGTACTTTAGAAGGCTTGGAAGTCGCCCTAGTGTGGCGGCAACACTGCCAGGTCCACTCTAGCACCATTGCCAGATTCAGGGATCCAACCAACTTAGATGACATCATGTGTTCAGGTCTGAGATCCGTCACGGATCTGGAGATCACATCCTACGATGACTACGATGGGCAAGCTGTAAGTATTAGTATTTGTCAAAGTATTGAATTATATTATTTCGAATTATATTTAATTAGTAGTAAACAAGCAAACGATATCGTCCTACCTTGTCAAGAATTTGGTTGGTAGACAGTCCATGAAATAACCTTTTTGCGAAGAGTTTCCATGTATAAGGATAAAATACGGGTCTGGATATAGTGGTGAAGCGGATTTTACAATTTTCAGTCGTTTTCGGCTATATTGATATAACCTCTGAGTGACGTAAAATTGACAAGTTGACTGTTATTCCTGATTCATACTACATAAGAAATTACTATACAGAGCGGTCATGACCCGCAAAAAGAAGAAGGAAGAAGAAGAACAACAAGAAAAGCCTGAGACTGAAACAAACTGCATTACAGATGAAGAAAATCGACCTGATTCGACTAATGTAAAAAAGATATTAGAAGAGAATCGATCCCTGAAGAAAGCACTAGCAGAAAAGGAGGAAATAATTCGTCAGCTCAATAACGAAAATTTAAAACTAAAAGAGCAGCAGCTGTCAGTAACCGCAAGTATTACTGAGAAGGATGCCATAGCATCAGCATTAAATAGAATTAACATGAGACTAGACGAAGTTGAGAAAAACCAGTTAGTAAAAGAAAATTCATACGCACAAATCTTAAAACAAACGATACCTATTACTAAAAAGCAATCGCTGAAATGCATCACAGTTATTCCAAAAGAAAAACAATCTTGCGATAATACGAGAAGAGAATTGAGTAAGAGAATAAATCTTTCATCTCTGAACATTCAAATAGAAAGTGTAAGAAACTCAAAAAATGGCGGAATTGATATAAAAATTGATGAATCAAATCATAATAAACTGAAAGATGAACTTCAAAATAAATTGAATGAAAAATACCATGTTACTGAGCCAAAAATGTTAAATCCAAAAATTAAAATAATAAATTATAAAAATAGTGAGAAACCGAATGAAAAGCAAATTGAAGAAGATCTTATACATCAGAATTATATGATTCAGAGTGGAGACATACAAGTAAAGTTTATAAAATATTTTCCATCAAGAAACAATTACACTATCTACGCGGAAACTTCTGGAAAGCTATTCAAAAAAATCTTCGAAGACAATAATAGAAGAATACTTCTGGGGTGGCAATGTTTAACAGTATATCAAAATAACGACATTTCTCGGTGTAGAAAATGCTACCGTTTTAATCATACAGAAAAGAATTGCAGGAATGAGAAGATATGTGCCAACTGTGGCGACGGTCACGAAGAAGAAAATTGTAAGCATGTATCAATAGAATGCTGCAACTGTAGATATTGAAATGAAAGATATAAAAAAAATTATAATATTAACCACTGACCTACCGACAAAAACTGTCCATAGTACAAATATTATCAGGAACAACAAAACTTAAGGATACTTTTTTAAAATTCAAGTTCATCTTTTACTACTCCTATCTCTAAAGAGGACCTTAAAATGTCAGTAAATAACTACATTAATGATTTCCAAATTCCAAGTATTGCAACAAATATAGCACAAAACGTCGATGAACTTAATTTATGTACACAAAATTCTGATGCAAAATTTCGAATTTTTAATATGAACATAAGGAGTATAAAACACAACATTGATTACTTAAAAATACTACTCGACCAAATATGGTACAATTTTGATCTAATAGTTTCAACTGAAACGTGGTAAGTGGCTGATATTTCTTGCTTCAATCAGCAGGGATATGACACGCTGTATAACTTTGGCACTTATAACCAAAACGATGGGGTTTTTGTAAGAAATAAACTGCAATATAATCATGATACATTCACTTTCACCGATGGAATCAAAATTTTAAACATAATGATCCAAATTAACCATAACAAAATTGAGGTATCTGCAATTTATCGTCCGCCATGTTCAGAACCCACGAGTTTTTAAAGAATATCGATTTTTTTTTCAAAATCAAAATAAAGTTCATTTAAAGCAACATATTTTCTTGAGAGATGTCAATATAAATATTTTGGACGATGATCCCATCACAAATGAATACTTGAATATCCTATCAAGTAACGGATTTCTGTCCTATATAAACCTACCTACAAGGTCCATCAGTGGCACATGTATAGATCACTGCTTTGTGAAAGACCTATCCAACAAAATTACTTGTATACCCATAATCCTAGAAAGCGATATTACTGATCACTTCTCCACTATTTTACTGATATCTTCAAATGAAAAACATTCTAACATCCCTACCGTTAGTAACAACCAGGAAAATTACAAATTTTTTGTCGACAATTCAAAACTAATATCAAATGTCAAACAAGAATCCTGGGAACAATTATACTCTATAAATAATATAGACAAAGCAACGGGACTGTTCATAGAGAAAATAAAAAAACTAATAGATATTAGTACCAATAAAGTAATAATTAGTCACAAAGAGAAAAGCAGAAATGCCTGGATTACCAAAGGATTAATAACATCGGCAATAGAAAAAGAAAGACTATATAATGTAATGAAACTAACGCCAACTACAGAGAATACCGACTGCTACAACCAATATAAAAATAAATTTATAGAGCTTGTAAGGCAAACAAACGAAAACATTACCTAAATAAATTGAATAATAACTTAAATGATCCTAAGCGGCTTTGGACAACTATTGATGAGATTACTGAGAAAACAAAAGTTAAAGAGTGTGTCACTGAGTTAAATACAACATCGGGAACAGTATTAAAAAATACTCAACAGATATGCGATGAATTTGTACAATTCTTTACTGACATAGGCGAAAATTTAGCAAGTAATATACAAGCAAATGTACAAAATACTCAGCCTCCAAAAAGATCTTTGAACTCATTTATTTTGGATAAAGTCGAGCAATGTGAAGTATACACCACTGTTATGTCCTTAAAAAATCGGAAAAGTCCTGGGTTCGATGGTATTAAAAGCGAGCATTTGAAAATTATAGCCGAGGACATAACAGAACCACTCACTTACCTAATCAACAAATGCTTTGAATCTGGCATATATCCCTCAATTTTAAAAAAAGGTAATATAATACCGATACATAAATCAGGAACAAAAACAGATGTTAACAACTATAGACCAATATCAATAATATCCAGGGTAGCAAAGGTTTTTGAAAAAGTTTTATCTACTAGAATGATTCGATACCTCACAAAATTCAAGATTTTAAGTGAAAATCAATATGGATTTACAGAAGGGAAGGCTACATCGGACTCAATAACTAAAATTGTAAATCAAATACATCAAAATATTGATAACAGAATCCCTTCAATCTGCATTTTTGTTGATTTAAAGAAAGCTTTCGACACAGTTAATCACAAATTATTATTAGAAGCATTGGAGAGAATTGGTTTCAGAGGAAACGCGTACTCACTGATCGAAAGTTATTTGTCAAATCGCCCACAATCTATGCAGATATCAGGGTCATTTAGTGAAGAAATGTATATTAAGTGTGGTGTCCCACAAGGAACTGTCTTAGGTCCGCTGTTATTCAATATATATTTAAATGATATTTTCCAAATTAATTGTGTTGGCGAAATAACTAGTTTTGCAGATGATACTGTAATATTATATGAAGGCACTGACTGGTCTGATCTGAAAAATGTAATTGAAAATGATTTTATCAAAATTATTCGGTGGTTTAACAGTAGAAAATTAAGCATTAACTACTCTAAAACACATTTTTTACCATTTGGATCTTATGCTAGACATTTGCCAAATTACACAAATTCTCCTTTAATATTAATGATCAAAAAATGCAAATTAATAGAGTGCCCAACATAAAATACCTTGGAGTGGTCTTGGATCCTCACTTACGATGGGACATCCATGTCAATTATATTTTAAAGAAAGTTAGATTTGTATCCTACAAAATTAAATACCTTGGGAATATATTGACAGAAAAATATCTTCGAACATTATACCATGCACTGATTGAGCCTCATCTCACATATGGTATATTAGCATGGGGAGCTGCATGTTCCTCACATATCTATAATTTAGATGTTTTTCAAAAAAGTATTCTAAAAATGATATTTAAAAAACCGAAACTTTATCCCACTGAAAAATTATACGCAGATGTTCGAATGTATGATATAAGACAGCTTTATTTCTTACACAGTATCACTCACTACCATAAATTTGTAAACATCGACCAAAAAATTAAACATAATCATTATACCAGGTACAAAATTCGTGGCACAGTAGTTCCTCAACCGCATAAATCTCTAATGCAGCGGTCATATCTCAATTTAGCGCCTAAATTTTATGAAATTATACCTAAAGACTTAAAAGATTTACGTTTCGGAAATTGTTTCAAAAGAAATTTAAAAAAGTGGCTACATTCTATATCTAGGACTGAAATTCATAAACTCATAAATACGAACATCAACTAAATACATAATCTACTGTAGCTAATTTTTGTCCTTTTTTGTCATTTGCATTCTACAGTTTCAACAAAAATTATTGGTCCATGTACAGGCGATGCCTTCTATTGGGCCTGTTTTGATTTTATATTTATTTAATCATATTGTTTGTTATCTTTGTACATTGAGTGAATAAATATTATTATTATTATTATTATTATACGAGATTGAGCATCCAATTTTGTTCACAGTGCGAGCAGCGGCTTGGAATGCTTGCGAACTTGCGCCACTGTGTAGTCTGCTGAATCTCGCAACAAATGTGATTCTGCTTGTTCATAATGTTGGTACTTCTGGTATGTTACTAACTCATATCTTTTTGTATTTCAGCTTCCGGAGATGCTCCAGAACTTGCTGGTCTCCGTAGAGCACGCCATCAAGCGAGTGCCTTTAGACGATCTAGTGTTCCCTTGTCCTCAATGCTTGCAGTACCTGCCATTAGACAGATCGGACGAAGATCCTGCCGCGTGCGCATGTCAGTGCTCGTGCAGAATCCCGGAAAATCCCGTTAGCAAAAAAGACACTTCCATACAAACTAGTCCAATGTTCGAGTATGTCGGGTCCATCCCGCACATCGATAGTGACGAGGATGACGAGAAAGATTCTGTCAAGTCGGGTAAGTATCCACCGGCCTCACTTAGGACTCCACAAGATGCTTTACACAGATGGTAGTCAAGGTAGTCATAACCACGGGAATAGACTGCCAGCGAAAAAGGGGTTCGACACCTTTGCATGCTAATACCTCAATAGCACGGATACGTTCCAAAGACATTCCTAGAATGACCCCGTGAGATCTGATTAACATTCCTGGTAGATCGCCAGACTCTCCAGTTTTGTTGTTGCAAAAACATCGGTTCCAAGAACTAATGAATTAGCTCTGCCAGCGCCGTATGTTCGTGGAGTGAAGCAATAAGAATGTAAAGACTTTGTAGATTTCTAGTAGATCTCCTTCAATCCGGCCAATAAACGTTTCTTTCTCATAGAAGTAGTCACCAAATGTAAAATACATTTGAAAATGGAAAAAATACATTGTCTCACATATTTCGATTTTTTTACTTCATACTTTGAGATACGATTGCGCATCGTGCTCGCGCAACCTGTCACGTGACATATGTTCAACCTCAGACACCGTTCGCCAATCTCCCACAATGTTGCCATTACGTTTTTAAACACACAGAAGTTCCGTCAGCTGAAAGCAGCCAGCAGCTTGTCGAATTCTGAAAGAAATAGTTACCTACGAATTTAACAGTCAGGCGGCAGGGTTTTTTGATGAAATTGACTAAAAGCCGGTATCACCACTTGACACACGTCTAAGTGCTTATGGTTACTCTAATGAAAAATGAAAGAAAATTCAAGTATTGGTTTGGATTCATAGATACTGTTTGATTCCATTACAAAACTGTTCTTATATAAAAAATGTTAGTATCGTATTTGATCTCTCTTATTTGTCAATTGAAAAGATGGATCAGGGCGACAAAAACAAAATAACTCATACTCCCGTACAGTGTTGCCAGTTCGATATTCATTTCCTCAGTAAATGGGTTGCCAAAAATTCAGTAGATTTCAGTAGATATATATTTTATGCAAATTTTAGGAAAGGGTAATAAAAAAAGACCTATGAACTCGAAAAAATATGTATGTTTTATAAATAAAGAAAATGTATGTGCTTAACAAAATATAGGAATATGTACACAAAACAAAAATTTTAACTTATACCTAATTCTTAATTAAAAAAAAATTATCACAAAATAAAGATACTTAGGACATACTCATCAGATACGAGTACATAAAAAACAGCAGTAAATTGTAAAAATAATAAAGAACTCCAAAAATACCAAACAAGTAAAAAAATTAAACGTAAGAAACTAGAGGGTACTTATATAAAAAATAGAATTTATTCGGAATCTGATAAAGTATGGTACTTTTTTGGTTTATATACGTACATATCATTATTATGTAAATTGATTACTTCTTTTGTAAATGTAACGTTTATACAATTTACTTTTCTAGACTTTATATAATTGTTTGTGTGTAGATGTCCCACAATACGCGTTGTTGAAAGTTTATTTCTTTGATTAGTTTTCATTAGATTTACCGCAGAAAAAACTCTTTCTACATTTGCCGATGAATGTGGTAAGATTAACACATTGAAAACAAATCTACTTAAAACAGGAAACATGGAAATTCCGTCGCTGTAGCGCATACTTTCAATTTTTGACCAGAATGTTTCTACACCTACATCACAACTGAAATTTAAATCCGTATTTCGAAGTAATCGCCATTCATTATCTATTATCTATTACTGCAGGTAAATGCTCCATCACATTATATGACAAATTGTGCTCAGTGGCCAAAGCTGCGAGATGTAAGTCTGCCGTTTTTAATATGGTTTCCTGACTTGGGCCTCCTTTAAAAACCACCATATCTGTTATGTTCCCTGCTTTTTCTGAGATTTGCATAGTTTCGTGTGCATCGCACTATCCTGATGCCGAACGAGTGCTAATCTGCCAGTATTTTTAGTAGAAATATCTTTGTTGCACACGCGACACATAGCAAAGTATTCATCTTTTTCCTGTTTGATCCACTTTTTAAATTGCTCCTCTTCGGTCCAGCTTTTCTTAAATACTTGATTATATTTATTTTTTTTTCTTTGAGGGACCAGCCCCTTCATTTTCAGAGTTATGGTACTCACTTGAACTAAAAACATAATACATTACATCTTTAGAATTCAATATTAACTAATAAAAGTGAACTTACCTCATTTTTGTACGTGGGCTTATACGAAAGGATAAAAAAATAAAGTATTCAACAAAACCACTGGATACGAGATCAAACCGAATTGTGAAGGTGAAAACGAAGAAAAAACCAAAACCCTCGCGTTGTCGCGCAGAGCTGGGAAATCCCGGTCCCCGTAGTCGTTTACGCATTAATAACCGGTGATTCCCCGTGGCCGTGGTCTGGTCCAGTGATGTAGGAATACGGTGTTGCCAGGTCGCATAAAACCACTGTTGTTATGGATGATGCCATGATTCCTATTATTATTACGGATGATTCATCCATAGAAGATTCATCCGAATACTCTATTCATCCGTTTCCGTCTAACCGATTAGCAAAATATTCCGAATATTTACATCAGTAGTCTGGGCTGTAAAGTATTACCAACATAATATCAAGCGCTAAGACGCTTTCGAATTTATTTAGGGTCATCATTGATGATCGTATTTAAACTGATTCGTCGACAATATTACGCAAGGTCTAGATTATGAATTAAAAATTAGCAATAATAATAACATTAATTAGGCATCATAATTTTTGATATAATAATAATAATAGTTTACAAAAATGTTTCAGTAGATCAGTAGATCAATATACAAATCAGTAGATCTACTGAAAATTCAGTAAAACTGACAACACTGCTCCCGTATCCTTTGAAAGAGGTTTGTAACACGTAGAACGCACAGTCTTTCAGCTGGTTGAAACAATTATACTCCAAGTGAAGTATGGATGAAAATATAGGCGCAATCTCCAGAAGCTACATTACTCAAGCTTGTTGCTGCCTTTCCAGTTATCTTTCAGTTGCTCATGCAAATTAATAAATAGATGTCTCTCGTTAATGCCTCGTGTTTATTTAAGAGGTTGCGTGGGTCGTGCTAAGAACCCGAGGGTCAACATTTATCTTGGCGGTACCATTTGCATCTTAAAAGGCAAAATCAATAACCGGTGATGTTATTGAAATATTAGAGGATAAGGTTATAAATCAGCTCTCATGCATGATGTTTTGTCATAAAGTGTCTGGGTAGATTACCATACCCGAGCCTTTAATTGTGTTTCGTGAGAAATAAAACCAATTGCAAAGAACTGCTGCTCAAGTCGGTGGCCTCGCGGCTGTGAAATTTTTGGAGCAATCGATACAAGTAGAAAGATAAAGGGTGATTTACAAACAGAAGAAATATTTCTAGAAGTATATTGGAAAATAGCACATGGATCGGTAGACATTGGTCTTAAAATCAACACCTGATAAAAGCTGTCTTCTGCGACTCTGATGGCACTAATTGGGAACAGCACGAGTATTCTTCAAATGTTATGGCGTGGCGTGGTCAGTACAATACTGCATAGGTAGAATTCTTAATGTCAAACTTCGTCAACATTAGCGCACTTTCTCAAAGTCGGGACATTTTACGAAGTACCTGTTTTTGTATTTGTGCAGCAAAGGTAGGCAGGACCAGATCAAGGTGATCCCCATAAAGATTCTTTTACAGTCACAGGAACGTTAATCGATAGAGAATTGAGGAAAATATCTGAATCGATTCTACATTTAACAGTTTTGAGAAGGTAAGCAATATTTCTATGTAGATTGTAGATACGGTATTCCGATAACAAAAACAAGACGATCCAAGTCATCCTCTTTGACCGCACCTTGCAGGTAAAGCATACATGGTATACATTGCTGAAAGTATAATTTTTGACAATTTAACCCATCTGTTCATCTGACTCAGATCCTTTAATTCCTTTTTTAAACTTGAACATCTCTGGCACCATATAGTGACAATAAAAGGAAGGGTGCGGATATTCGATATTCGCTTTGCTCCTATCTATCATAGTTTGCCCGAAGTTACTTTGGAATTATCGTGTTATCTATCAAAACTATCAATTTCATCTTATTTGTACGACTAGGAAATTCGGTTGAACATACGTTAGGATCACCCATTGTCGATCGTGGAACTGATATAATGCTGGAATGATAAGCAAAAGGTTTATCTTGAAGTTCAATCCGTTTGTACTTGATGAGGATGTCTGTTCGGGTGTTCTGTTTTTGAGACATGTCCTTCTGACATATGTGCTGCTTCAAGGCCTAACTTTCTTAACTTCTCTGGGAACCAAAAAACGTGTTATAAATATGTAAAAACTTAGTAAGCGAAATGATTACATTACGCTAGTTTGAGTAGTAAAATTATCGTCTATGCAATGAACCCTTGTCGTTTGACGTTAACAAAACTTCTGGTTCGAAGTTTGCCGTTGTAGTAGAGATTTTTGCAGCGGATTTTGCTCCAGTTTTTTCACGAAAAGGATCTAAGGCTGACCCTTACAACTACTTACAACTATAACAGGCCAGTAGCTGTGATTTCTATTAAAAGTAAGGTGGGAGTCTGGAGGTTCTGGAAAACCTTGAATGTCACCGCTTGATTAGCGACAGGCAGCATGCTTTTTCGCACTAGCCATCCACGAGGTGCCTAGTGTCTTACCGCACGCAACTGTGGAATAAACTCATCCAGTCTTATGGTGAGGCTCATGCCGTTGCTCTTGATATCACGAAAGCGTTCGGTCATCTGTGGTATGCTACCCTCTCATGCAAACTTCCAGAGAGGCTTTATAGACGGGTGGCTAGCCGCAAGATATCCGTCGTGATCTACGGGTTCTCATCTTCATCCCACAAGGTTAACGCGGGTGTTACCCAAGGAATGGTCTGGGCTCCGACATTGTTCCTCTAACATATCAACAACCTCCTTTTCTGTACGATTAATTCAGTCCACAGCTTTGCTGATGATAGCACTCTACATGCAGGTATTCAGAGTGACAAACCGATCTATGCCGGTGAGCTGGAGAAAAGAAGACTAACTGGGACTTTCTCTTTGACGGGAGACCTCAAGGGTATCATTGTTTGCGAACTCAACAATCAAGTACAGTTTAATGTTTCCAAAACACAGTACTGTGCCCTGACTAACAAGAAGCACCCGAGCCCTCACTTGGTTTCAATAGATGACCGATTTCTACCAAAAAGTGCACTAGTTTTGGCTGGTCCGAGTCTAGATCACCAAGGACTTGATCTTGTACGAACGCGTCTCATCAGTAGTTGCTGGGAAAAGCTAGGCTATCTGCTTACGGCTAAGAAGTACTCTCACCACATAACCTCCTCACTCTATACAGGTACCTCTCACGTGTTTGGGGTACTGGCGCCCCGACTGTATTACACATGTTCAGAGTAGGGTTGTCCGACTGATCGATGACTCTTCTCTGACACAGTCTCGGGATCTAGCTGCCTCGTACCGATATGTCAACTGGCTTTGCTCTTCAAAGTTCTCCTCCGTGATGACACTGCGCGATATGCCTGCCAGGCAGACCCGCCTGACTTCGGCGTCCCATCCTGACCATGTCAAACTTCGTACATTCAGAAATAACCGATACGACCGCTCCTTGGTCTCTAAGGTATCTATGGAACAATCTACCTAAGGATGATTTTCCTAGTTCTACCTACCTTAGACAGTTCAAGAATCGGAGTCACAAAGTTTCTTCAAGCTCTTCATAGCAGCCGCGCCCTGGTACGTGGTTGCTTCTGTAAAAATATATGCTGCAGGTGATATGGTAGAAGAACGGATGCCATTACAATAATTAAGTTTGTGTGTTAACCTACAAAAAAAATTAACCAGTTTTATTTATTACTCAAACCCATCTTCATCGACACTTTGTCTTCGAACAATACTCGAATTTCAGCCTCGTTTCTCACACTATCTCTATACCCGAAAGCCGTACCGTGGTACCGCCTCCGTGACGGGGTCAGTGTTTTCGCCTCTTTTCCCACCGCGCGCCTTCGAAGATGCTAACGTGCTATACGATTTGCTCTACTTTATCGATGGCAGAGAGATTTTTGCATATTTAGTTAATCGTGATTTGCTACACGCTTCAAGGGATGGACGGCATAATTTCTCCCCGCGTTTACCTTACTTATTTTGTAAAATTGCCTCCTTTTCATCTCTTTGTTTTCGGGCCGGGTCTACGGCGGATCTGTGGGAAAATTTCATAGCTTACTCATGCACGTTTACCATACGGAATGGGGTATGTGAGCTATAGAAGATTGTTTCGAAATAGGTGTGTTTACGTTCTTCGTTGTAGGGTGATCGGATGATACCGTCTCGAAATCATTAGCCTTTGAACATCTCAAGGTCATGCGGACTCATACAAAGGCAGAAATCTCGGTCTTATACAGGTTGCTCTGGATCTTGGGACTAGCTTTTTTGAAACAACTACAGCAGTGAAAAACAAAAACTTTAAAAAGTACTCATTGTTTATTCATAAAAGGTCTAACAAATAAGTATTGCCCTCTCGTTGTATAGATTTGCTGCTGCACTCATCTCGTCCTTGACCGGAAACGACCTGAAAAACGATCTAAATTAGGTTGGAAGCCGCAGCAATAAGCCCATTATTGATATGGGAGTTTTCATCTCTTCACTTCCCACTCAATGCTGCCGTCATTCCATCTAAGAAAAAAGTCAGCTACAAAACATAAATGGACCAAGTTACTCAAACAGGCTCTCTCATTTAGTTCATAATCCGCACCGGGTGTTATCTAGAAATTTAGCTCCTACCCTACCGACGGTACCGACTGGTAACGTTGCTATGACTAACCTCTTAACTGAACTGGGAAATCTACGATGTATGAAATATGTTGTATAAGTTAGTAGAGCTATCGGGGGGTTAGAAGCGTTTAAATATACTAACGTCAGATACATCAGATATATCCGAGCGAGTTTAAAAAACTACAAAGATCTTTCCTCCCTGGCCTAGTCGTAACCTTGTGTCAGAGTTTCATCTAAATCCGGCCACTACTTTACAAGTTATAGCTGAGATTAGCGGACAAATAGCCTGAACGACGAAATGGGTGACGTGGTGTTTAGTGATACACATATCAAGTAACTATCCTCGCAGACTGACATTCTGTCAGTGGTTTTTGCACAAAAACATTGAAAATCCGATTTTTTTAAAAAACATTCTAGCGACGGACGAATGTACTTTTACGCGAGACGGGATATTAAATTTCCATAATACTCACACGTGGGCCCAATAAAGTCCTCATACCATTCGTGAAGATCATTTCCAACAGCGTTATAAAATAAATATTTGGGCGGTTATTCTTGACGATCAGGTAATTGGTCCTTTCGAGTTACCCCCAAAGTTATCAGGAGAGGGATACCTTAGCTTTCTAGCCAATAACCTACCAGAACTTTTGGAGCAGATCTTAGACAACATGCCATTACAACGGAGACAGAATTTGTGGTTTTTTCATTACGGGGCACCACCACACATTTCTGGCATTGGGGAGAACTTAAAGGGATGGTTTATGGGGCTGGTCCAATAACAACTGAAGCACAGCTTCGCGAAAAACGTTTAATGTGGCTGAAATAATAAATGGACAACTTCGAGGACCTAGAGTAAGAAGAAACTGGGTCCATCGTAATGAAGCTTTTTTTTATACTCCAACTACCATGAAGGCCTAAGGCCTAAACATCCATTGGGTACCGTGGGACTATAGGGGGATACAGGGGAAACAGTGCAACATGCACGCATTCTGGCTCCGCCTACGAGATCCGCCGGGTGGTACCTACACGTTCGACAGTCAGAGACCGTCTACCACCTACGCACAATCACAACATCCATAGCCAAGAGAAAAATTTCTCCTGGGATGGGACTCGAACCCGCACGGCGACTGATCAGGAGACCGAAGAGTCTACTACTGCGGCCACCGCTGCTGCCTGCAGCTGGTGGAAAGTGGAGGACGACATTTTGAACACCTTCTTAAATACAAAAGCAGTGCAGTGTGGGTTTTGAAAAGAAAAACAATGTATGTATCAAAATTATGTTTCCCATTCATAAGTGGATTTTTTTAATACATTCTATAAACTTTCACACACCAGGTGAAGCGCTGAGATAGTTAGTGGTAAGTCAGTTTTTTTTTAATTGTTTGCATTTTATGAGTACATTATCAAATAATGAAATAATACCTAGGAGCCAAAAATAACAAACTCCATCTTTATTTACACTGCGTTTGGTCGTAAAATGCGTCTGGCATTGCAGCGTCAGATTTTATTTTACTTTAAAGTCGCTTTTCTCAAAAAAATGCCGTTTTGACCCCATGTTATGTGAAACTTTTTGCTTCTTCTAACCTCCCCTATCACCCATTTAAATAATGACTATCATAACGTTTACACCCTGTATATCTAGAGAATACCTTAATCTGTTGATTGCTAATATAGCTAACCATTACATTACTATACCTATCGACGAGATTCTACCAGACAATAATTAATTGCGATGGAATTTCACCTAGTTAATTTAGAGATTTCAATATCCAAAACTGATTGCTTCATCTAAATATGGCGCTGTCTGAAGAGAAAAACATCATCTTCAATCATCACTCGTCGAACTGCTCATTATGCTCTCGTTAGTATCTTTATTAATAATTTATACAGAATCATAAAATTACTCGATCGTTACTACAGCTTCTTATCTCAGAGTTATCGGAAAACCTGGGACATAAGCCAGTAATTTCCGTTAATTCGAGAAACTGCTCAACATTACCTTCCACACGAATCATTAATCGTATCCTGGTTTTGTCAAAAGAAGCCGAATCTTGTTGGACGTGCCAATCATCGTATTTGGAAAACAATGTGACCTTGTCTCGCACTTGTTTCACTTATTGAAATTTTCTTCGCGAGTCACGCAACGCGCTTTCTTCAAAAACAGAAGATGGCGGCTTTGTTGCCAGGTTTCACATTTTCTCGTTCACCTTCACAATAATTATGCTCAATTCAGTCAGTATGCAAGATGTAGCCCAAAATAATTTGGGGAGAATGCATATTTGCAATTATTTTGAGCTACTCACATTGTGAATTAACAAAGAATTGGTGAAATAACGTGTCTACGAATCGTAGCAACGGTCATTTCGTATCTATACAAAAATTGAATATGGAAACATCGCACTTTTGACATTATAATTACCATGACTTGAAAGAATGCCGTCAAGTAGCTTGACTCTGTAGTACGTCTAGCAACGTCGTCTCTCCCCAGGATCTGCCACCAGCCACCAGTCATCTGGATGTCAGGGAGATATAAAATATATGTCATTTAGATCTGCACCTTGAAAAAGGCCAATGAGGTGGCCAAAATGTCAGTAGAGTAATTTCGACATATGTGGTTTCACTAGGCCAGCAAAAATCCATGTCTGCAGAGCTAGATCTTATTCCAATTTTAGACCAATTCACAGATTTATTTTTTATAAGGCATAAGTCTTTTTTTCGCTAGACGTAATAGATTCTTCTATTGATTTTGGCAAAGCTGATTGTGGCATCAATATTCCAACTTGGTACTGTACTAAAAGCAGCTTTGAAGTAAATAAATTTGGCAACAATGTCTCGTACCTTCAACCACTTTCGGTTTGATCCAGTTCAGCAATTTGGGCGACCCGAGCAAAAACTAAATTGCGATTTATTTGAAGCTTGCTGAGAAATCACCGCCCTAAATGCATAGTAATTGCACGCAAAAATTCAACCACGCAAATTTGATCTTAAACGTCCGGTCTTCGGTGTTGTGGGTACTCGGGACAAGAAATGCGATGATAATCCAGGAAACAAATATACATTTAGGAATTCAGATACTAGTAGCATTCGTTACTGTCAGTATGTAACGTACCTAATAAGCACTACTTCGTTCTGGTTCCAACTCATCTACCATGTTAAGCGTGTGAAGTATCCACACTGAATATTTTAGATACTTCTTGCTTGATCATAGCGGATAACGTTATGCTAGAAAGGCCCGATTTTTGAATTCTAGAAAATTTTTCTCATAGGAAAGTATTCCTGCGCTTTTCTGTGGGAGTGGCTCTAGGCGCCTTTGGTTTTGTTGAATGTAAGATGGCGTTGTTATTATTTTATTTGATAATTATTATAGAACATTTACTGTAGAAACGCCCAGACGCATAGCGATTAGTGTTGCTAGATCAGCTGAATATTTATTAAACGTAACAGATATACGATATTATTATAATTAATAGAGAAACCATTGGTTCATATTTTGAGTCTTACTTTTTTAATCTCACGTAACGGGTTATTAATGCGTACAGCAAAAAATGTGAGCAGAATTGTCGTTGGTATGTCTAGTCAGGGTAAAATTCGGCATAATGTTCTTCCTTGGAACATCAGCAATTTTTGTTTCCTAGACCACTGGTGAAGCAATGTAATATAAAAAAAATAGAAAATAAAATATTATGTCCTTTGAGACAACTCAGCGAATATACACAGACAGGCAGATTTGTCACGTTGCCGGATAATCGTTAACTAATCTGTTTAATTCTTTTGTTATACATATTCGTAGATGACGTCTTCAAGAGGATAACTTGTGTCAATGTGTTACGAACTGATAACAGAGTTGCCTGGGAAGTGCAGAGTCAAGCTACTCCAATTTTGTTGTGATTATTCAGAAGTAGGTATCCTAAGAATTTGAAGAATTTCAAATATCTGCGATAAACCATCGTCGCATTACCAAGTGCCAAAACCTGCAATTTGCCACGTTTTTCGGTCATAACATTTTTGCTGTTAGTTGGATCTTTTTACGCGTGGTCTCATTTTTTAGGTCTCATTAATACCTAAAAGTCTTGTATGAAAAGTTTTTTCGTTCCTGTCAACACTTTTGATTGAATCCCAAAAAACACGTTTTCTCATTCTTGGTTGTGAAATAAAAGGTTTTCTTGCAAAAATTGGTGCACCCATTTCATACGTTTATGTTTTAATTACCCCGTTGAACAACTTGCACCAATAAAACCAGAGCTAACTACTAGTTCGGGGAAATTCGCTAATATGATTAGACTACCAAGAAGCTAATCTTCTCAACATGAGCCGAAATACAATTTATCTAAATCGCTAAGAAATTTAAAATCGTCAAAGCTATCAGATGCATGTAGCGACACATACGTAGAAAAGGGAAGACCACCCACTGTGGCCGCTCATGGCCAAATTGTTAGGAGTTATTAATTATTATTAATTCTAGTCCCTCTGCTTCAAGTATAGGATACATAATATGTAACAGTACATAAACCACAAGGCTTTGCACTGAACCCAAGAGAATTTGAGACGTAAATGATAATTCCTTAAATGTTCGGAGTACGGGAAAAAAGCGAAAGTATCCAGGCCGTGTAAGTTGTCCGGTGAATCGATAAAGAAATCGATGAATGTACTCGCTCTTTAGCGAGCGGCCCGTTTGCCTTTTGCTTTTACCAAAAGTACATGCCGGTTGCTTAACAGGTGCTGTAGGATTCGTGTCCGCCAGACAGCAAAATGTGTTTCTCGTATTGAAACGTTCACGACGAAATATGGAAGGTGCTTGCCGATGCAAGAAAAGAGCCTTTGATTTACGACGGATTTCGGTCCAACTGGATGTTTATCTTTACTTAATCTGTCAGCAGACCAGTAGAACAACTAACTGTCCAACTGTTATCTTGAAGAATACCGATTAGATCCGGAATGCCCATGGTGGGTCACAGCGCCTCAACGGCGAAAGAAGGATCCTGGAAACTCCCAACATTTGTTGCGATTTTTCGCATGTAAAAATCCAGCGGAAACTTGTAATCTCATTATGCTCGACATTCTGATATTCCAGCTCTTTAGACACTCGAGCCAGTTTGTGAAATCCCCTGGAGTCATTTCAAAAATAACGGCACCCATCAGCATTTCCTGAAATCCGCCAATATTTCAACCGGCTAGAAATGCACTTTCAGTTTCTGTACGATGTAATTAAAAATGATAAACATACTCGCATACGCACTCAGGCGGCTTCGGCTTTCTTATTCATTTGTTTTTTTATCGATAACGATTAATTGCTGCTTGCTGAATATTAATAGAGTTCGCTTGAGTATTGCATCTGAATGATATTGAAGGAGAAAATCACGACGAGTCCTACAATGTTGCCAAGCCGTTGCAGCATAAAGTACACATATTTATTTATCCTTTGAACGGGCAAGCTGATATTCTATATGAGGAAGTTATCGTATGAATAGAGTTCACAACGTATCCGACAAATTTTAACCACATATGCATTGTTACGACAGTAGTTGACTTCTCAAAAACAATGTAATAAAAGTCCTACAGAAATCGGAATACGAGTAATAAAATAATGTGTAATATGCACCACGCTGCTGCATGTGACACTTCTGGGACCTGTTGAGTTAATTGCCTTGTGCTTATTCCCGGAGCTTCTTCCACAATATCCAAAATTCCCTCTTCGGCATTTGAAACGCATTGTGGGCGAACACAACCCCATCCACTCCACATCTGGGGCACAAATCTCCACTAGCACATGCACGTAAAACAATCGAACTAAATGTGTCGTGATGTGAGTTGTGCCTATTCGGAAATCGGTGTGCATACAAACCAGAAGCTGCTCGCGAATTTTGCCCTGCTTCTCCGTACGCTAAAACAATGTCCACTAACTCCTCATTAGTGTACACATGTGCCATTTTTATTAATAGATAACTAAAAACATAAACTCGGAAAATACTTTCTTATTTAACTTCACAAAAATCGACCGTTTTTCATTCAGATCACCCACGATACAGATTAAACCTTTTATTTACACGTTCTTGTCGGTATGAAAAAACAAAAAGTTCCTGTTATTTTGTTTTTGTCACTTGTATGGTACAACATTTGCTACAATAAATCATGAATGCGTGTTCTAATACCACGACGATGAACGCAAAATGCAGATATTTATTTTTCAATTTCTTATTGAAACTCGGGTTTATAACTTAATTTCTGCATGACATTTATTACATTTTTTTGAGAAATCAACTTCTTTCGTAACAGTGCATATGACCCTTCATTCCATTTAGAAAATGTTCGAAAATGGCTCGCAGCCGCCATCCTGAAATTTTCCATTGCTACCTGCTTACGGTATCGTGCATAACTTCATTATTCCAAATTGCAGCTTACTGACTTCACCCATTCAAAAAACAAGTCTGAGGTTGCCTTTATTTTTTGTCTGACTCAAGATTTTTCACCCATTAGTACGAGGCTTGTTCAACTGAAACCAACCTTTGGCCAAGCTAGCCTTGGAAACACTTAACTGACGCTTTGCAATGTTATTATTATATATAATCAGCCTGCGTTCATTTAATTTTTGTGAGCTGAAGGTTTGCAACCATTGCAAATTCATACGCGAATTCGAGCAGTGTCGGAAACGGATGCTTTGCGCATCCAACTGTCAAAGGAATGGTGTCGAAAATTTAGTAGGAGGAGAGGAGGCGAATGTTAACCCGCGACCAGCTGCATTGAGTACTACATCAACAGACAGGAATGTGGCATATGTAGAAGGCATGCTTAGAGGAAATCGTCCAGCTTCAATCAGAGCAATTTCAGAAAATGTGGGTGTGAGTATAAAGCTTGTGCGCAATGTGTTCCTCGCTTTCTGCCAGAGGACCAAAAAATGGGCTTGTCTTTGCAACGTCACATGACATACAAGCAAAACGGTAATGACTTTGTTTCGTCAATAATTGCTGGCGACGAATCTTGGTGTCATTATTTTGAACTATCCAGTAAGCGTGGATGCAATGGAGTGGACGCCACAAAAGAAGTTGAAAAATCAACCTTCTGCAGGCAAGGGCATGTCAATTTTTGTTGACCATGAAGAACCGTTGCTCATAGAGCTTGAAGAACCTAGTTCATATCAGCGTAAACCTGTACAATGAAACTGTGAACAATCTCCATCAAGCAATAAGGCGAAAACGTCCAGGGAAGTTCTCATGTGGTTTCATTTTTCTGCACGACAATGCCTGGCCTCATGTTGCCAGAGTAGTGAGAGAAAATCTACAACGAAAGCAATGAATGATATTAGAGCATCTACCCTATACCCAAAATAATTATTTAACATCGATTGGTGAAATAATGGGATATGAGCCTTAATTGTAGTGGTAATTATTTGTAGATATACGAGCCCCTTCCCGCTTCAGTTGGCCCACTTCAAGATTTGTACCGAAATATGCCTTTATAAACTAAACATTACGAAACTATTTACTCCTAAAACAATTTATTTTCTCAAAAACATTTTAGATACACTCTAGTTGTAAAAAATACATATTTGAAATCACTTAGACCTATAACTAATAGAACATCTGAACAAATAAACAATGTGCGAATAAATGCGCGAAGTTAACAATGCAACAATTGAAAGATTACCATTAACCTTTATTTTTTATTACGGCTGAAATTCTTTGGGGCATAGTGTTAACCAAGTTTTGGCAGAAATTTGGTGTAAAACAATCCCATATTTCTTGAAGCTTTTGTCTCAGTTCGGTGATTGTAGGAGCAGGATGTTGTCGTAGAACCTTTTTTATCTCGTGCCACAAAGTTTCAATAGGTGACAGATCTGGACTGCTAGAAACCCATTTCAAAAGTGGTACATTAGTTTCTTCCATCCATTTTATAGCCTTTTTCGAGGTATGGCACGCTGCACCATCTTGCTGAAACACAAAATCTTGGCCGGATGTCAAACATTCTTCCATCACTGGTAAAAGCGATTCTTCTAAAATTGACAAATATTTGTTTGTATCCACATTTCCATCAATAAAATGAAGTTTTCCTACTCCTTTTAATGACATACTGCTCCAGACCATAATGGGTGCTGGACATTTCGCTTTTCTCTTCAGACAGTCAACATGGAATGCTTCATTTTTTTGCGAATAACTCTACTGTGACTGTTACCAACACAAACTTCGAATCGGGCCTCATCACCCCATTGTATTGCACACCATTGTTGAGGTGTCCATGTCTTTAGCACATCTAAGCCGATTTTTCTTTTGCAGTGGAGTTAATAGTGGCTTTTCTTTGGCCTAAAAACGAGTTGTGCAACTTTAGGGTTTTCTACTTCACTTTTTTGTATAAGAAAACTTACCTTGCAAATGCTAAAACCCAGTATGTGTGCCTCTCTATGAGTTGTGGACCTCGAAATTCTCCTTCCAACAGCGTCACTCCACGGAGCACTTAATTGTAAATAATTGGCACGCCTGTTTTTCACGATTATTCTTCTTAATGCTCTTCGGTCGGCATTTGTGATATTACTTTTTTTCACATATCGTGGCTTAATATTAACTGAACCAGTTACGTTATATCTTCTAACAATATTTCTCACGCTGTACCGTGATAAGTCTAACAAAGTTGCAATTTCTGAGTTTGATTTCCCAGAATTAAAAAATTTAATTATCAGTAGCCGAATTTTCTCACTAATAACCTTTCCTCTACCCATTTTGAAAACCTTAACTACCCAAAACTATTTTAAACTTATTCTGACAGCTGTGATTGATAAAAACAATTGTCATGGCTTTTATTTTTCACAGCCACCTATGCGTTATAGACTTATTTTGCATTGAAATGAAAATAGATTGATATGCTGTAATTGCAACATGTGTTATATTTATGCTGCAAAATTTGATTAGGGAGTGATGAAGTTGGTGTTTTCTACTATATATTATCAAAATATTCATTGTTAACATTTTAAACCTATAACACCCTGCTACATTTTTATTATTTGTGTTTGATAAGAAAAAAACTAAGATTTCAATAGTTGGGCCAACTGAAGTGGGAAAGGGCTCGTATTTGCCAATAAATTTTTTCTGGACCAAAGATTGGTTTCAATTGAACAAGCCTCGTACATGCCTATTTTCAACTTCCGATGCTAATAGACGCTTACAGTTTCACAAGCATGCTTCTTCTGTGTCCTCTGAGGCAATTTCCGAGAATGACCAGGAGCCTCTGAAACATAAAAAAACGAAGTTTTGCGACTTTTGCTATTTATTTATTTATTTTCGTGTTTTTGCTCTCAGCTCCGCCACCAATAGGCCGATTTTCGTACTACAAAGCTTTTTTTGGACTTTTTTGGACATAGCAGTATCCTTGTTTGAAAATTGTATCAGAATCCGAGCGGCACTTTAACGGTTATAAAATTGGCGGATATACCGACAGACAGACAGATAGACCGACGGAAATGAGTGACATGGTTTTCATACCACATAACATCAAAAAAACATACTATCTTAAATTAGAAATATTTCGGGCTTACAATGCTTTCTCGCCTGTTTTGGCATAGGATGTAAAAGGGATGCCCGTTTCAGTCTGGCATCTTTTGCTAGGATCGATTTCATCAGCAAGAAAGAAACTTAAGAAATCTTATTTTCATATTTCAAGAAACCAGTAAGGTGAGTCACTAAATTCTTTGAAAAGGCAATAAACGGTTATGTCTCCATCAGACATTTCAACTGCTATCTCAGTTACTGCGGCATTAGTCACAACAACTTAAATTAAGTACTACTCGTCACCCTATTTAGCATATTCATATACTACACGGATCCTAAGTAGGCTAATAAATAAAAAGACATACGCAACAAACCGCACTACATGACAACATGAGTTGTGGGCGAGGTGACTACGCGAATTCGCAGAAGTAACAAGGCTTCTCCTGTTTAAGCTACAGTGATGCCAATTTAAGAATTGCTACCTAAACTTTTAATGGATTTTATTATACAGCGTGTTCGTTTGAAAACCTCCCACCATTGATTAAAAGAAGAAACGCACATGTCAAAATATTTGTCAAGGGGACAACTTTTTAACCAAAAACTACTTCACCTCCATTCACCTTCTGCCACCCAGGGTCACCCCCTTGAAAAATTCAAATGACAAGCGGTATCGAGTAATAGAATGTTTGAAAGGCCTTTCGAAGTCCTTGATTTTGACATTGATTTTTTAAAGTCGGCCGATTCGTTTTCAAGAAAAAATTGGAAATATCTTTATTTATCTTAATTTGTTTAGAGGGAATACAAAAATGTCACTTTTTATTACAAAATGACCCAAAACTTCAACTTGAGCGGCTTCATCCAAAACTCTCCGATGATCACGTTTTTTTAATTACAGCAGATCCAGTTTGAGTAAATTCAGTAACAAGGTCCAAAACATACCTATGCGAAGTTATTTTCTCCGGATGTATGGCGCTAAACGTGCCGAGTTCATTGATTTTAGGCACCATAAATTCGAATCACTTCTACTCTTTCCACTAGTGTGTAAACCATTTTAGAAGTAAAATCTGAATCAATAAGTTAATTTTCACTATCCGAAGATTGTCACAAAGGTAACTGATAGCAAATTAAATTCTTTCTTTCGCTTACCAACAAATAACTAAACAGGTATAACAATAAATAGAGTTCGTCCGGGATATCCGTTTTGATGAAAAGAATACGGAAATTCGGGTTGTTATTTTGTTGTTGCTTCCGAATTGCTGTTTATGTCGGTAGCTTCCGTTTTAAACTATAAACGAATTGTAGATTTGGCAAACCCCAACGGGAAACATTTTGACCAGTTATTGAAATAAGAACTGACATTTTCGTGTGTTTTTGTTTTTTATCTGAACAAATTCAGATACATAAAGATTTTTCTAATTTTCTCGAAAACGAATCGACTGATTTTAAAAATTCAAACGTCAAAATGAAGGACTTTGAAAGACCTGTTAAACAAGCTACTACTCGATACCCCTTGTCATTTTAAATTTTTAAGGGAATGACCCTTGGGGGCCGTATGTGAAAGGGGGTGAAGTAGCTTTTTGGTTAAAAAGTTGTCCCCTTTGAAAGATCTTTTGACGTATCTCGGCATTTTTTCTTTTAATCAGTGATTTTCGATGAATCCATGGTGGGGATTTTTCAAACGAACACTCTGTATAGTCTCGTTAGTTGTACTGATTGAGAGCCAATCTTTTTTCTAGTCGCATGGACTCCAGCGACCTGCTTATGTCTTGGAATTTGGAAATCTGGTTTCTTAAGGTTACATTTACAAGACGATGATTCCTAAGAAATGCAACCTCGTGTTAACTATAATAATAATCATAATAATAGCTTTGTTACCAGCAACTAATCATTTAAAGGGTAATTAGGTGAAATCGTAAATTATTATAGGTATAAAGGAACTATCAATGTAGGATGTCTTGATACTTAGCTCACTCAATGTACAAATGCAGACATCGCAGTAGTATCCAGCGCGGCGCATCGAAAACGAAACAGACGTATTTACTGGCAGCTCAGTTTTTTTTTTGGAAAATCGCTCAGACCCGTCGATTTTTTTTCGAGGGGGACGCAAGTTTGGCAAAAAACACGATAGGTTCGTGCAGCCCCCTAAGCGGGGGTGACACCCCCCCCAAAATCTTAAATGGAAAGGGGGGTCGAGTGATACCTTCTTTTAAAGGTCTTTCAATTCCCTTTATAATGATATAAAATTAATGTACTTCAGTTGGGTAGTTTTGAGGATTTATTGATTTAAAGCTTAAATAAAAGTAATACATCATCATTAGTGGAGATCAATACATTTGGCAGCAGTTATTTAAAAATGAAGAATGAACTGACCCGTTAGGCAAGTAAATGTTAAAAATGGCCACCATGACTCTCCATGCAATAATAAAGATTTTGGTCAAAACGTTGCCGCATATTTTGCAATATTTGGGGAGTAATTTGAAGGCACTCATTCACAATTATTTGTCGCAGGTCTTCTAATGATGTTGGTTGAGTAGCATAAATTTTGCTTTTTAAATGACCCCACATAAAGAAATCCAAAGGCGATAAATCTGGCCATCTTGGGGGATTCAATGGCACCTCTTCTACCAACCCATCGATCTGAAAGCGTCTGATCTAAATCTTGTCGAACACCTAATGCGTAATGTGGTGGGGCACCATCCTGTTGGAACATCAACCTATACCGCCGATCATTCTGATATCCAATTATGGCTGTTAATGCAGGATCTATGGCGTCTTCCAGTAATTCCAAATACATTTCACCGGTCAAATTTCCAGGTAAGAAAAAAGGACCAACTAGATCGCCAAAAATACCAGGCCAAACATTTAATTTTTGTGGCTGCTGTGTATGAACCTCATGATAAATTCTGGGATTAGAATCGGACCAATATCGGCAGTTATGACGATTTACTACGCCATTTAAGAAAAAGGAACTTTCGTCGGAAAAGCAAGTGTTGAATAGAAAATGTTCATCGTTTATAATTCGTTCACTCATATCTTCACAAAATTGTAATCGCCGATCAAAATCGTCTTCATTACGTCCTTGTATCAGGTGAATTTTATACGGATGACAACTATGGGCCTTTTGAATCCGTTGGACAGTACGTCGACTAACACCACACACAGTCTGTTTGTCAGTCAGTCAGTTTGCGGGTACTTAACGTAGGATCTACATAAGCTTGCCCCCACTTCTATTGCTTCGTTCCTTATGGGATTTTCAATGTCAAAAACTGAGCTGCCAGTAAATGCGTCTGTTTCGTTTTCGATGCGCCACCCTGTATATCACACAATTGTTACGCATAACATGAATGGGCGACTTGACTAACACATTGTTCCTGTGTCTAGTACAGTTGAACGTAATACTTGTCCTACTACTGAACCTAAGCACATTAAAATTTATTTGGCATAGGATGGAAGAGCAGTCTATGACAATATAAAAGACTTTGTGTAGAAACGAAACAGATGCTACACTTCGCCTCTGTTGCAAAATATATCAATAAAATTTCATAGTCAATGTCTCCTTCAGGATATATTTCAAAGTTGACGTTGGACCCTTTCTATTGCGATCTTCATATAACACAACCCTAGCATATTCCAGCACGATATTCTTAACGCTAAAGCTTAATCACATCGATATTTGAAAAGCTTTTCCAGTTCCTCGGTACATACGCATGATGTTTCAATGCGTCTGATTCTTTTTGGGCAACATGTCTTGCAAATGTTAACTTATTATTAAAAGTTATCCATAGATCTTTGGAAATGTTTATTGACCACGCAATTAATAATAGTGCCTCTTCTACTGAAAGATACGGCTTTACAATTTTCGATATTGAAAAGAAGTTTATTTTCATTACACCTGTCTCCAATAACGACCAAGTTATTTTGAAGCAAGTGGCAATCACCAGGCATCGTACGCAAAACATAACACTTTGCAAGAAACAGCCGATAATGAATTATTAATATATAAAATGAATAGTAAACCACCTAAGTTTGAAAGTTAGAGAGCACCAGATGTGATTAAACATTTGGTTGACTATATGCAGGATGTGAAATTAATTGAAACCTATCTGGCAAGTTTATCGTAAAAACAAGAACTAGCAAGTGTTGACAATAGAACTGGATTGTACGTCTGGTTACCTCTCTGTGGTATGGTTTATGCATTCATCAGGCAGCTCACATAAGGCTGGACTAAGGAGAAGTTTCTAGAATGGTAGATCATTCAGGGTAAAGATAAGTGAGGACCTGCCCAGATCCAATAGGAAGATCATAAGACTAGGATGGCTAAATAAAACAAAGCTACTCAAGCTCTGTTTACTGTTCTATGTCCATAAACTTCAAGTGACTTCAATTCCTCTCTTTCCAAAAGAATATTTCATGGGAACACCCATTCATTCGCTTTCCAGATACACTAAATAAATTACTTTTAATGCAGTTTCTCTCTACAATACATTACATCCAACAATAAGTGCTTAAGATTTGATAGGTTCAATAACCATGTTCAAAATTTTATTCCCAAATTTAAATGCTCTTATCTTTCACTGCTGTTAATAAATCTCCCTCGGCTTTTATACTCATATATATTTGTACTTACATTAACTCTATCAGCTATGTCAAATGTTTCTATTAATATCCATACCTTTTTTTGGCATGTAATTTTTTTATATACGTTTTGCATATTTTTCATAAGCCGACAAATAGAGTTTG